CCCCCCGCACGAGCCACGCCGCAGCCAGCAGGTGAAGACGACCCCCACAGGCCCCCCAGGAGAGCCGCACTGCTGGCCAGCCGAGACTGCCCCGCGCACAGGTGCCGAGCCCCCCAGCAGCCAGGGTAAGTTGAGTCAGGAGCAGCCCCTCCCTGCCCACAGGCTGCCCCATGGCCTGCAGCCAGGGTGGGCTTTGCCAGGAGCCCAGATGGAGGGGGCAGGAGGCGACCGAGGCAGAGGCTGAGGGCCCGGCTCCACCCTGGCTCTCCAGGGTACGCAGCGTATGTGGCCTCACGGCTGTCACCCCAGGCAGAGCACGGGCTGAGCCGGGGTGGGGTGGCAGGAGGGGAGTTCCACCTGGTGGCCGAGGCGTCTAAGAGTCCTTCACAGCAGGACAGCGTGGCCAGGTTGAACTGGGCCACACAGGTGTCCCCGTAGGCAGCTGGGCCAGAGCCTGGCCCCAGCCTCAGTCCAGCCTGTTCCCACCAGCCACCCTAACCCTAGGCCCCTCGGGACGCCTCCTGGCTAGGACTTCCCACAGACCACTCAGGGCAGCAGGGCCTGGCGCCGGCCCTCCCTCTGGGGCCAGGCTGGGCTTTGAGTAAACCCCGCTCCTTTTAAAGCCATCGGACTCCAAGGAATGTGGAGAGCAGCCAGTCCAGCCCCGTCTCCCAGCTCACACAGCTCCCTGGAGCCGCCCGGCCCTAGCCCGCATCTGGCAGCCGCCCCAGCTGCCTTCAGACTCGGGGCAAACGCAGCCCTTCCCCTGCGAGGGGAGAGTGAGTGCCCGGGGCCTCGGTGTCCTCACTGGGCCCAGGCGCCAGTGGGATGTGCTCTGGGCTGGCCGTGGGGGCGCGGCGGTCTGCACAAGTGTGGCAGCTGAGGGCCTGCAGAGCCACGGAGGGCTCGGGCTCCTGGTGGGGCTCGACCCGAGCCAGTCAGGTCCCTGCAGGGCCTGGGCAGAGCTGTCTTCTGGGGTGCTGGCCAGGGGCAGCGCAGGCAGAGCGGGCCCCGGCTCCGTGGGGAGGGCTCTCGGGGCTCCGGCTTCCAGAGCCGGTGGGCCTGGGCTGGACGGGGGGGGCGGGGCAGGCTCCCACTGCGGGCGAGGCTGAGCCCAGGTCTCCCCCACAGCTGCCAGCTCCAAGGTCCCCAGCAGTGGGAATGCTCAGGCACCCGAGGGCCACCCGGGTAAGGCAGAGCCCGGCCGCACCAAGGCACGCCTGCTGCCCAACATGCCGAAGCTGGTCATCCCCTCGGCCGCCACCAAGTTCCCGCCCGAGATCACCGTCACGCCGCCCACCCCGACCCTGCTGTCCCCCAAAGGCAGCATCTCCGAGGAGACCAAGCAGAAGCTGAAGGTGAGCGGGGGAGCCGGGTAGTGCCGGGAGGGGGAGGCCTGGACGGGGTCGCGGCCCGGCCCCTCTGACCACTGTGCTCCCCGGCCCCGTCTGCAGTCGGCCATCCTGTCTGCCCAGTCGGCCGCCAACGTGCGGAAGGAGAGCCTGTGCCAGCCAGCCCTGGAGGTCCTGGAGACGTCCAGCCAGGAGTCCTCGCTGGAGAGCGAGACGGACGAGGACGACGACTACATGGACATCTGAGGGGGGGCGGAGCCCCACACGCCCAGCAGGCTGCCCCTCCCGGCAGGCCTGTCCGCCGCCTTCCGAGTGCAACCCCCGTCCCTCACAGCTAACACG